TTTGATTTATTGATTTAAGAAAACAAAGAAATGGCCAAGTAAGCCTCGCTAAGCCCAGAAGAACTGAATGGAGTCAGCACTTTAAGTTCCTGCACTTTTGGTAAAGATGGAAAATAATTCCAGGGATAACCTTAAAAATTAAAAAAAAAAATAGCAGGAGAAAAAAACAGAATAAAATATATGTCAAGCCAAATCACTGATAGCTCAGGAAATAGCTAAAATAAGTATGGGAAGCAGGAGACAGAATTCTAAACAGCAGGAAAAGACAAGAACACTTCATGGGCTAAGAGGTCCTTTTATCTTGATTGGGAGGAAGATTGAGATACTGAGTATCCCTAGACTTTTCATACACATGTAGATATGTAAAACTTGAGGATAAGTACTAAATGGATAGAAACACTAATCTCTAATGCTCATTTTGTCTTCCTGTGTGTTAGTGATTTCTAAAAATTTTTTCTAGAATTAAAAAATGGTCCAAATTTGTATCTCCTTATATTGATCAAGGTTTCTAGACACAGTGGTATAAACTAACTCAGGCTAAAAACAGATTATTAGAAAGAAATCAGGTGGTGCATAAGAATAATAGAAAGGCTGGAGAAATAAGTCCACAAGATCAACAGAAGTCAAGGGAGATTAGATTAAAGGAAAACACAGCTAACGTCATGTCACGTGGAGGTTATGTGTGGTTAGGTGTCTTTGGACATTTGTAACTCATGCCATCACTGGACTTTTATAATGATACTCTGAGCCCCAGTGCTCTGTTCACTCAATGGCAGGCCACAGGGCTGAGGCTAGCTGAGAGGCAGAGCACCTATTTAACATGATCAAGACCTTGGAGTCAATCCTGAGCACTGCGATAAACACATAAACAACCAAGCAAAACAGACATTTAACACTCAGATAGGTTGTGTCTTTTTTGCTAAAGTGTTGTGTTTTCTGGAGTAGATAGTTGCCTCAAATTTTGTTTTGTTTGCTGAATCTCTATGACTCCATTATTCTCAAAAATCTCTACCAGAGTTTAAATATTTTCTTTTAATTTTCATTTCATGTGTATTAGTGTTTTGCCTGCATGTATGTAGAGTGTAAATATTTTCAGTGAACTTCAAATCCATCATAGTGCTTTAGCCTTGAGTGCTTCCATTTGATTTCTGATCAGCAGGTGTTTATTTTTATAGAAATGTCTTTATACCCAGGGGCTGGAGAGATAGCACAGCGGTTAAGAACACTGACTGTTCTTGCAGAAGACCCGGGTTTGAATTCCAGCACCCACATGGCAGCTAACAACTGTCTATAACTCCAGTTCCAAAAAAAAGAACTATCTTTATGCCTGTGTCTCTGTTTAACCGTTGCTGATGGAGGGAAGCTCATCTCTCCTACTGTCTTCTACCACCTCTCCCTCTTCCAGCACACACTTACTTTTTGGAAATCCTCATTCAAGTTAAGATTATTATCAGGCATATATGTTGAGCTTCTACAATGCTTTTCTGCTTTCACTCCCGTGGTTACCTGATTTGTATGTGTTTTGCTAATGCTAGACAAACTAATCTTCCAAGACTTGGTTGCTTTTAGTTTCCTGGAATAAACCTAGCTTGGTCATAATATATGTATTTTTTTTTCCACTTTATCACTTGCCTGCTAATATTTACTTAGGATTTTTACCTCTGTGGTCATGAGAGATATTATCTAAATGATTTGGAATGTTTTCTTATTTCCTGCAAAGTAGTATTTGTAGTTATTTTTCCCTTAAATACTTAGTAAAATTTTTATCAAGGAATCTATTTGACACCAGTTTATTCTTTAAAATATTTCAAATTACGTATTCAGTTAGATGTAAGGCTATTCAGATTTCTCTTATGCTGGTTTTATAGGCTTCTTTTCAGACATGATTTTTAAATTTATTGCTGATTTTCATTACAAGCTTAAGTTCATTTTAATGCCTTCAGATTTTAAGATTGTCCTTTAAATTCCTGATATCAGTCATCTGTGCTTGATTCCTTTTTCTTCAGACTTCCTCAAAGATTTGTCCATTTTACTAGACTTTTAAAGAAACAGATTTGTATTTTACTTTCTAGGTTATTCATTTCTGCTGTGTGCCATTTCCTGTCTTCTATTTTGTTTTACTTTATTTTTTTTAACCTCTTGAAGTAGAAACTTAGATTGTTAAAGTCAATCTTACTCTTTCAAATATGCACTTAAGGCTATTGATTTTCTTCTAATCATAGTTTTAGCTATATCCTATAAAATTTGACATTTGATATTTTTATTAATATGCATTTAAAAATACCATCTAACTACAATTTCTTCTGTTAACATTTTCATCTGCATTATCCAGGCATTTTTTCCTTCATGCATTCATAAATGGTCATGGGTAATTTAGAAGATTATTTATTGCATGCTTTCTAAATATCTAGAACTTGTCACTGTGGCCAAAAAGCTTACTATATGATTAACGTTGGGCTGTAAAAAGAAAGTACCATCAAGTGGATGGCTTAGACAACAATGAGACTTGAATTTCTTTTGGGGTAGAAAGTACAAGATGGAAACCCAGCATAGTCTGGTTTCTGGAGAGCCCTTTCTGCCTGGCTTTTTGGCAGTTGATTTCTCCTTGTCTTCACATGGTAGGCGGAGAGCAAGCTCTTTGGTGCCTCGGGGTCCATCTCACCCTCATTACATCCCAAAGGCTTCATCACAAACACCACCATATTGGAAAACAGCTTCTGCATGTGAATTGTGGTGTAACACAGATATTATATATATAGTCAGCTCCTGGTTTTTAAGGTCTGAGTCCTCTACGATGGGCACCACTCACTGCTTTGGGCCTGTGATGGCTCAGTACATCACACCAGGAATATGTGGTAGAAGAACCCGCTCACTTCATGGTAGCAAGAGAGACAGAGGGAAGAGACTGGAGTCCTCCTAGCCCCTTCAAAGACACACAGCCAATGACCTAAAACCTCCCTCTAGGCCACATCCCTTAAAGGTACCACCACCTCTTAACAGTGCCAAGCTGGTGGCCACATCTTTCATTGTATCATATCTCTGCCTTTCATTCTACCTTATGCTTGAATTATTGTTACTTTTTCATTGGCACATTTCCTGTCATAAATAAGATCTTGAACACGATTTTTTAATTTTTACATTTTTTCTCTTATAAAACTAAATGTTTATTACAGAAAATTAGAAATAAGAAAAGCAAAGATTACTTAAAATATATGTTTTTCAACTGAGTTTATTTTACTCTAAAAATGAATGTTTGTTTTAATAAAATTCAGAAAAAATAAAATAGAAATATTGTCACTCAAAGATGACTAATCCTGACATTTTCATGTTTGATTGTCCATATTTTTTCTGCATGCATTTATAAAAAGGATCATATTTTTCAAGCCATTTTATGACCCACTTTTCTAATAAAAATGCTTCATAGGGCTAGAGATACAGTTCAATGGTTGAGGCCTTTGGTTCAACACTGTTAATAACACACAGAGTCAATGTTTTTCTATGTAATTACTGTATTTTAGTATTTAATGACCCCTAATACTGTGTCACATCAATGGACAAATGATCTCATTTCACTTTGTGAAATTTAATTTTTCCTCTTTTGCTACTATAAAATGCCTTGGAGCCATTTTGTGTACTGATGTATCTCTACATTTACTGATGTATCTCTATGTACCCAGTTAAGAAGTCACACTATCTAAAAATCAAATACCCATAAGTTAAAATCTATAACATAGAACATTTCACTCATCAAATGGACAAAATCTTTGAAAAAATGGTATTCTCTGGCATGAAAGCAGGAAACAGAACAAGCATATAAGCTTCTGGTGGGGAGGGGAAGCTGGAAGAATCTTCATTGAAGAAACTTGGAAATAGGAACAAAAGCAGCTGCCCTGGTTTTCATTTTTGCAGATGTTTCATGAGGAAACTTGATTTTTCCAAGATCTTATTGGAAAGGACTCACATTATATATATGATGTAAATCCAATCCCAACAAAAGAATTTTCTTAGGGATATTACAAATAACGAATCCAGGTGCCCTGAAGAGTTCCCAAAGTGTGTGTTTGTAAGCATTTAAATTTTCTTTTGACACCACTATAAATCATCTTTGCCTTGGGACTCTACTCAGAACAAACCAAGTTTTTATTTTTGATAGATGATGGTAGGGGAGAATGGAGAAAAGAAATTCCTTCCTTTCACTCAGGACCTTCTCAAACAAAGACCTTTAAGTACTTTCCTGGCATTTCTTGCCTTTAAATACTATATTTCTGTATTTTTAAAAAATCATATTTACTGATGCCATTAACATAGAATCTTATGAGCAGGGTCCAAGGTGATTGTACACAAGTCCCATGCAAACTTAGGCAGACAAAAATCCAGCATAGAACTGGCAAAATGAGTAGCAGACCCCAATCTTAGCTGAAAAAACATTGGCAACTGATTACTGCTAGCTGAGGAAGAGCTGCTCTTCCTAAAACAAGAGACTCTAGATAGGCTGACTAGACTTCAGTGGATGGACTTGGCACTGGGGAACGTCTGGGATCACTGACTTGACATATTGGACCTTAACACAGATGACAGAGTATATGGTTTCCAGTGGGAGTGGGTATGGGAGGGTGCTAATAGGGACAGGGGTATAAAGATGATTAAGATTGCTTGAGACATTCTGTATAAAATACACAAAAATTCAATTAAAAAATCACATTTACTTAGTGTGTGTGGTCAGAGGTCAACCAAGTGGAGTTGGTTCTCTCCTTTTACTATGTGAGTCGTGGAAATCCAACTCAGGTCATTAGGCTTGTCAGCAAATGCTTTAACCAACTAAGCCACTTCACTGGTCCATCCCATTTCTGTACTTTTATTACATATATTCATGGAGATGCCATGTGGAGGCTGTAAAGAGTACAAGGTTGAAAATCCAGAAACAAACTTCAAATTGTCCAGGTTTGTTGTGTCTTGCCTCATTGGGAAGTTTACCTTTTCCCACTTGGCTTTTGGTACAGATGGCACATGGGCTCTTGGGGACCTTGCTCAGCTACCTGCGGTGTTGGAATCCAGAGCCGAGAGGTATACTGCCTGCACCCTGAGGAATCCCCAGCCCCTCCTGAGGAATGCAGAGATGAAAAGCCCCATGCCTTACAAGCGTGCAATCAGTTCGACTGCCCGCCCAGCTGGCATATTGAAGAGTGGCAGCAGGTACATCATCCTGGCACGGCCCACTATACTCATGATGGTGGGAAGGGAGCCACTGCCTCACCGTCTCTTTTCTTAGTGTTCCAGGACATGTGGTGGGGGAACTCAGAACAGGAGAGTCACCTGTCGGCAGCTGTTAACAGATGGCAGTTTTCTGAATCTGTCAGATGAATTATGTCATGGACCCAAGGCATCTTCTCATAAGTCCTGTGCCAGAACGGACTGCCCTCCTGAGTTAGCTGCCAGAGACTGGTCAAAGGTAAAAGCCATTATCAACCTCACAGGCCCTCCCTCTCTGCTTCTCCCTTGTTTTAGCCCCTGAGTATTTCCTGTAAAAAGACAGAACAGGTGAGAAACTGGCAAAACAGCCAGGGCACTTTCTCTCAAAAACCCTATTATGAAACTTGGTAAGTGCATGAAAGAGCTATTCATAATTCTCTCTCTCTCTCTCTCTCTCTCTCTTTCTCTCTCCCTCTCTCTCTCTCACACACACACACAAACACATACACACACACATATACACAATCATATGAGTTAAACTTTCAGCTCATTGATGGTACTTAGGTTGGAATTGTCTTTAAGAAGTTCCAATTTCTGGATTCTTTATTATAAAGTCTAAGCTTGGTTGGACTTTTCTAATGCATTTTTAATCTTTATCATCCTAATTGGTATTTTGGTAGAACTAGGAAATATATGTGTTCAGATCCATTCTATTAATGATTATCCTGAAGTTAGGCTGGCCTTGATCCAGATGTATGAACTATTTATAATATAGTGTATTAAATATAGATGTTTATCTTCAATACAAATGAATTTACTGTTTTTGAGACAGTCTTTCTGTTAATAAGGAGTATTCTAGCAATAAGGTTTATTCTAAAACCTTCCTGTTACTCTTTTTTATATGTGATACTATGGATTTCTTCTTAATCACTATATAGCTAGCCAATATTCTAAAATAATAATGTTAAGATTCACTGTAACCACTCATTTGTTGTCGGGGATCCTGCCGGGACACAGGGGCTGGGGAAAGGGAAGTGTGCTGTCTGTTACCCGCAGCCTCCCTGGGAGACAATCAGACAGGACAGGGAGCCAGTCAAGCAGGAACTCCTTTATTGCAGGTGTTTACAGAGCTTATAAAGGCAAAAAGGACAAAGGAAAATCCCCCCCCCCAAACCAAGTGTCCAATCATTTTAAAGGTGAACTTGAGCATGCAGTCTCCTCTCCATAGCACAGCATTGTGTTCAAGGGTTGATCACGCGCTGCCAGGATGCACGGAAATGACAGGAGCCAATCAGCGATTGGTCAAAACAAGTCTGGCCATATTCTGGCCATTTCCTCTAGGCGCCAGACAAGTCTGATCACGCCCCAGCTGTTTCCTCTAGGCGCCAGACAAGTCTGATCACGCCCCAGCCTTTCCTCTAGGCGCCGTCCTGCCTCGGCCTTGGCCTCAGGCCCCCGCAATTTGTATATTTTGACTTATTCAAAATAGATCCAGTACATTCATATTCATGCACTTTTGACTTTTATACTTGTTTTAAATCCTTGTTCTATGTTCCATGAATCTTAGGTATATTGATTACATTGTAGATATGCCACTTAGACTTGGGAAATTCACAGAAAATATCTGTGTGTGACCAGTTGTGGCACTCTTTAATAGTGTTTGTCTGGTGCAAAAGAAACTTCTTTGATAATGGTGACTGGAATATTTATCTGTAAATATAAGGATACATATTTTATACATAGAAAGAAATTACATTAGTCTAGTCTAGGCTCTTGGATTTGTTGATTCTTTGTGTTGTTTTCTTTGTTTCTATTTTATTAATTTCTGTTCTGATTTTTATTTCTTCTTGTCTGCTGGGTTTGGGTTTTATTTGTTGTTGCCTTTCAAGAATCTTGAGTTGTGATGTTCATTTATTTGTGTTCTTTCTTAACACAAATTTTTTAATGTAGGCACTTTGAGCTATAAACTTCCCTCTTAGGACAGCTTTTAAAATATCCCAGAAGTTTTGCTGTGGTATATTGCCCTTTTTTTTAAATACCAGGAATACTTTTATTTCTTTCTTAATTTCTCCTTTGACCCACTCATCATTCAGGAATGTGTTATTTAATCTCTATGAGTTCATGCAGTTAGTTACTAGGGCTTCTTCTGGTGTTAATTTTAAGCTTTATTGCATTATGGTCTGATAGAATGCATTGGAATTATTTCAAATTTTTTGTATTTGTTGAGGCTAGTTTTGTACCTCTGTATATTGTCAATTTTGGAGAAAGTTCCATGGGGTGCTAAATAGAAAGCATATTCTTTGGTGCTTGGGTGAAATATTTGGTAGATGTCTGTTAGGCCCAGTTGATGTATGGTAGTGTTTAATTCAGGTATCTCTCTATTTATTCTTTGTCCAGTTGACCTGTTTAATGGAGACAGAGGGGTATTGAAGTCTCCTACTGTTAGTGAGTTGGGATTAATCTGTGTCTTAAACTGCCGTAGTACTGTTTTTATGAAGTTGCACCAGAGTTTGGTACATATATATTCAGGACTATAATATCTTCTTGGTTAATTGTTCCTTTTTGATCAGTTTCAGTTTGAAGTCCATTTTGACAGATACAAGAATTGCAACTCCTGTTGGTTCCTTAGTGCCTTTTGCTTGGGATATTTTTTTTCCATCCTTTCACCTTAAGGTAGTACCTTTCCTTGAAGGTAGAATGGGTTTCTTGCAGACAACAAAAAGATGGATTTTGTTTTTTTAATCCATTTAACTACTGTGTGTCTTTGACTGGGGAGTTCAATCCATTGATATTTAAAGTTATTATTGAAAGACGTGTATTGGTTCCCATCCTTTTAATTTCTGTTTGCATTCTTGGTCTAACTTTGTGTTTCTACAGTTATACCTTCATTTAGTTTCTTTATGTTGCCCTTTGAGTATAGTTGTTCCTTTCTTCAGCTCTTTGTATTGCTTCAAGAATTCTCTGAAAGACTGGTTTTGTGAACATGAATTCTTTCAGCCTATTCATGTCATGGATGATTTCTTTCCCCTTCAACTATAATAGACATTTTTCCTGGGCAAACTGTTGTGGGTTGGCATCTATGGTCATTTAGAACTGGGAATACTTTGGTCCAGGCTCTTCTGGCTTTCATAGTTTGCATTGAAATGTCAGCTGTAATTCTGATGGGTTTTCCTTTATATGTGACTTATGTTCTTTTGAAGCTTTCTGTATTCTATTTGTTTTGTATGTTTAGTGTTTTTACTATGATATACTGTGGGGAATTTCTTTTCTGGTCCTGTGTATTTGGTGTTCTTTGTATTTCTTTTATTTGTATGGACATATCTTTAATTTGGGGAAATTTTCTTCTACAATCCTGTTGAAGATCTGATCTTCTCCTTCCTCTATGCCTATGATGTGTAAATTTGATCTTTTCGTGGTGTTCCACTTTCCTGAATATTCCATTCCTGTATTTTTAAAATTTTTTTCATAATCTTTACTTGAGCAGTCCAATTTGTCAACATTATTGTCCAGACTTGATATTCTGATTTCCATTTCATTCATTCCAGTGGTGAGGCTTTCTCCTGCCATTTATAATTGGCTTATGAGTGTTTCACTTCCTTCTTCATTTCAGCCCGAGTTTTCTTCAATATTTCTAACTCTTTTGTGAATTCAGTCAGAAGTTTATCCCTATCTTCTTTTAGTTCTTTGATTTGTGTGTTCTTTAAATTTGTTGAATTCTTTGATCATGTGTATGATTGTTCTTTTAAATTCTGTGTCCTGGGTTATCTTAGGGGGTTCTTGTTCTCATTGTAAAACTCTTCTACAGGACTGTTGGTGTTTGATGGGAACATATTATTTGGGTTTTTCATATTATTTTTTGTTGTGATTTTGGCATATGGATTTCTTTCATTGTTTGTGATTCTGGTGTGAGACTCAAGTCTTCCTTTGCTGAGTTGAAGTTTGTTTTTCTTTGTATACTTGTACCTTGGTTGTTTTCTTATTGGGTATGAAAAGCTTGTTGGTCTAGGCTTCAGATTCTCCATTTTGAATATATTGGAGTGATGAGATTGCTCCAGTCCAGCTACTCAGGAGTTCACACAGGGGCCCAAGCCAGGCAAGAATCAGATACTCTCAGGCTTCCTCCTAACATCTGGACACCTTTAGCCAGCAGGCACAGAACAATTTTGGAAGCTTGTTAGGCAGAGGCTGGATTCAGGTGATCTCAGGCAGTCTGCCAAAGTCTGGGCCCCTACTAATGGGCAGGGAAGTTGAGCCCTGCTACAATGGGAGAGGCTGCAGATGTAGACAGATGGGCAGGGCCCAACGTAGGCAGATGGGCAGGGCACAACTTGGAGAGCTCACCAACACAGGGAGCTAAGAGGTTAGTAAGAGATCTGGGGTGCTAAGAGCAAAAGGGGCCTGTGCCCAAGGCTAGAAGGACAATAGGATGTGGGGTCCTGGAGACTGGAGTTGCTCAGGCTGTAGGAGGAGTCAAGGCACAGTTATCAGGAAAGATGGCTGGTCTGAGAAATTCAAGGCAATCGGGGGTAGGGACAGCCTTCCACATGAAATAATTCAACTGAAATAATTCAATTGAAAAATTGAGCTGGTCTGAATGCAGGGGATCAGGACACAATGGGCAGGTCAAGGTAGGCAGGTAGTCCAGAGATCTGAGGTACTGAAAGCAAAAGCAGACCTGTGCCCAAGACTAGAAGGAGAACAGGATGTAGGCATGGGCTACTTCTTTTTAACACCAGATACTAGAGGAAGGAGCCCTCACTAGTGAAGAGGATAAATACCAGAAACACTCCACTGTCTTACACTCTCTGTCAGCCTAAGCACAGAAGGCTATCTATTTAATTTACATAAGAGCATTAGCAAATACAAAGCTCACTGAAAGATAATAGTATCAATAATATCAATAATATACCAACATAATAAAAGTTTGGCCTTGAAGCAAGTGAAAATATAACAGTATCACATAATGAGCTAAAAGCAACTCAGAATATAATGAATATATATATATATATATAT